GGGCCCTGCGGCGCCCAGCGCTGCGGGCCTGGAGTGCGGCCGGCGAGCACCGCTGGCTGGAGGGCTCGTGCACGCTGGCCGTCGATGGCTACCTGTGTCAGTTCGGCTTTGAGGGCTCCTGCCCAGCGTTGCCAGAGGAGGCTGGCCAGGCCGGCCCCGCCGTCTACACCACACCCTTCCACCTGGTCTCCACCGAGTTTGAGTGGCTGCCCTTCGGCTCCGTGGCCGCTGTGCCGTGCCAGACGGGCAGACAGGCCTCAGTGCTGTGCGTGAAGCAGCCCCAGGGCGGTGTGAGCTGGTCGCGGGCTGGGTCCCTGTGCCCAGGGACCGACGGCGGCTGCAACCCGGGCGATGGGGGCTGCGAACCAGAGTGCGTGGAGGAGGCGGACGGTCATGTGTCCTGTCGCTGCAATGACGGCTTCCGGCTGGCCGCCGACGGGCGCAGCTGCGAGGACCCCTGTGCCCAGGCCCCGTGTGAACATCAGTGTGAGCCCGGCGGGCCACAGGGCTACAGCTGCCACTGTCGCCTGGGTTTCCGGCCCGTGGAGGATGAGCCCCACCGCTGCGTAGACACAGACGAGTGCCAGATCGCCGGCGTGTGCCAGCAGATGTGTGTCAACTACGTCGGTGGCTTTGAGTGCTACTGCAGCGAGGGCCACGAGCTCGAGGCTGACGGCATCAGCTGCAGCCCTGCTGGGGACGTGGGTGCTCGGGCTTCCCAGGACCTTGGGGAGGAGTTGCTGGATGACAGAGAGGATGAAGAGGACGAAGGTGAGGCCTGGGAGGACTTCGATGATGGCTGGACAGAGATGCCTGGGATGCCGTGGATGGAGGCCACACAGCCGCCTGACTTTGGCCTGGCCTATGGGCCTAGCTTCCCAGAGGACCGAGAGCCACAGATGCTCTACCTGGACCCGACCTGGCCTCCCCCCCTCAGTGCTCCCAGGGCCCCCTATCACTCCTCAGTGCTCCCCGTCACCCGGCCCGTGGTGGTCTCTGCCACACGTCCAACACTGACTTCTGCCCACCAGCCTTCTATCATTTCTGCCACACACCCACCCCTGGCCCCTGCCCCGGAGCCCCCCAGGATCCCTGCCATGCACCCAGCTTTGCGCCCTGACCACCAGTTCCCCATGATCTCAGCCAACTATCCAGATCTGCCCTCTGTCCACCAGCCTCCCATCATCTCTGCCACTAGCCCAGCACGGCCCCTGCCCCTCAGCCCCCAGTTATCTCAGCCAAATACCCTGAACTGTCCACTGCCCATCAGTCCCCCATGTTTCCAGACACCCAGGTGGCTGATTCCCAGGCCACCACTCATTGGTCTGGAATCCCAGCTAACCACACCCCTCTGGCCACCACCTCCAGTGCTCATCAGTCCCCTGTGGCCCCAGATGTCCCGGTTCTCAAAGCCCAGGCCACCCACCTTCCCAGGACCTTGACTGTCCAGCCGTCTCGGACCACTACCTCCAGGTCCCCTGCCCATCAAGTCCCTGTGCCTGCTGCCACCCAGCCCCCAGTCCTTCACACTCCCCTGCCCCCTCAGAGTCCCCCTAACCAGAATGCTCCCTCCAGCCCTACACACACTTACTCCAAAACCCCACAGGTCCCAAGAGGAGGTGCCTCGGATCCCAAGCTGACCCCAATGCCCTCAGCAACCCCCACAGCAGGCCCCACAGCCCTGGGGGAGGCCAGTCCTGCAGGCCGAAGCCGGAGGGATGACCGGTGGCTGCTGGTGGCACTCCTAGTGCCAACCTGCGTCTTCTTGGTGGTCCTACTCGCACTGGGCATTGTGTACTGCACCCGCTGTGGCCCCCATGTGCCCAACAAGCGCATCACGGACTGCTATCGCTGGGTCACCCACTCTGGGAACAAGGGCCCAACAGAACCCATGCCCCACCGGGGCAGCCTCACAGGAGTGCAGACCTGCAGAACCAGTGTGTGATGGGGCACAGCACCCCACTCTGTGGGGGAAGGGGCATGCACTGGACATGTGGCCCAGACTGCACCAGTGACCCATGGGGGCGGCCCAGATGGACAGAAGGGCTTCCTGCTCCCCGCGGCACAGCCAGAGCTCCTCTCAGCCCATCCACTTATACTTGACTCATGACCACTACGCTCCTTGGGTCTGGCACTTACGACAGAGGAGATGACCAAGGCCCCCAGGACCTCAGGGGGTGGGTGCTGGGGTCTCCTCCAATAAACCGGGTGCCAACCTCATCCAAAGCTTCTGACCCCATTGATGCCTGAGGGGTGGGTCTGGGAGGATTCAGAAAAAAAGAAGGGGAACTGCCTTCAGCTTGTCTGGGTCCCCAAGGAAATAAGGTAAGACCCCCTTAAGGCAGTGGTTCTCAACCTTCCTCATGCCGCGACCCTTTAATACAGTTCCTCATGTTGTGGTGACCCCCAACCATAAAATTATTTTCGTTGCTACTTCATAACTGTAATTTTGCTACTGTTATGAATCGTCATGTAAATATCTGATATGCAGGATGTATTTTCATTGTTACAAATTGAACATAATTAAAGCATAGTGATTAATCACAAAAACAATATGTAATTATATATGTGTTTTCCGATGGTCTTAGGCGACCCCTGTGAAAGGGTCGTTCGACCCCCAAAGGGGTCTCGACCCACAGGTTGAGAACTGCTGCCTTAAGGGAAGGTATGCTTCAGAGATGCTCAGGGAAGTAGGAGCGCAGAGGGGGCAGAGCCTTGCCCAAGGTTACACAGAAATCCAGGGAATGGGAGGTTTGGGATGGGGAATTCCATATTTGTTCTTTATACAAAACTCCAAGAAGGTAGGGCTGAATCTGGGGGAGGGTTCTGGAATGAGGGCTTCTGCTGAACTGGAGCCAAACTGGGGTTTGAAGGTTAAAGGTAAGCCTGGGGCCTGGTGATCCTGGGAGTGAAGAGGGTCTAGTGGGTGAGCTTCTCCTAATTTTCTTCTGGTACTTCCCTTCCTGCCCCTGCAGGCTGCCCAGGAGTTGGTGGCTGGGCTCAGGGTCACTCGAGGGTGCTGGCACTCCTCCCTGCTCTAGGAAGGAGGTGGGAGTCCGAGCCTAGCAGGCTAGGCTGGGGAGAGCGCTAACTAACCCGGGAGAGAGAGTCCACATCCAGCTCCCTGGGCAGCCTCCGGAGCAAGGCCCTCCCATCTTGGGCACATTTTGCCCTTCTCTATGGTGTGGGCCAGAAAGAACAGAACAGGGGACCTCAGCTTGAGCGAATGTTCAGGCTGTTCAAGGCTAAATTCCCATAAACTGGAGGAGGGAATGGTCAGACATCACAGCCTGGGAAAACCATGCAACCTCCAGCATCTTGGGCTCACTGCCTTGGGCACAGGGCGAGGAGGAACCTGGGCCGGGGAGGTACCGGTTCCCACTGCCTCTGTAATTTTTCAGTTGCGGCCTCTAAGGAGCCTCTAATTAGGACGGAGCAGAACCACCACGACCACCCGGGCAGGCGAGGAGGGGTGGCCAGAGGCCCCTTCCCTACCAGGTACCCTATGCCACTGCCTGGCCCCAGGGCCTGGGCCTAGGCTGGAAGGGTAAACTGGGCCCCGAGGGACTAAGAGACTAGAGGCTGGAGCTGGGGACCAACCTGAGGGCGGAGGGGGGGCGGAGGGGGGCGGAGGGGACGCTACGCACAACCCCCGCCCCCTCTCACGTTTCCCTAACTCAAACCAGACGCCCCACCAGATCCTGCCCAAGTTTTTAACCTTGGAGACGCCGCCGAAGAAGTTTGCTGCATGGGAGTGGGGGTGGCGGGGTGGCCCAAACGCCTGAGTGTGGGAAGGAGATGCGTGCGCCGCCTCGGGGGTGACAAAGCCTGCCAGGAGGAGAATGGCTGGAGCTCCCTCCTGTGACCCCGGGCTGGGGATCCAGAGCGTCTCAACGAGGGCAGGAAGGAGTTAAATGCACTGCCCTCGAAGGGAGGAGACGGGAGTGGGGAAGGGGGCCCAGAGCCGGCTCTTTGTCATACCGTAATGAGCACCAGATGCGGAGCTGCGTGCGGGCCGAAACAGACGGCCTCCCAGGGCCGAGCCCCCGCCTGCGCCCAGCCCAGCCTCTTCCCAGGCCCCGAGCTGGCCCCGCCCACTGACTCTCAGGCCCCGCCTCACCCAGACCTCCGCCTACCAGCCGGTCCCGGGGAGCTACGAGCCACGCCCACTGACTGACGTCACGCGCCCCTCGGGAGCTCTCCAGAGGCCCCGCCCATCAAAGCTACAAGCCTCGCCCCCTGCCAGCTCAGAGATTCTCAGAACGATTGCCCCGCCCCTCTGTTAGCTCCGCCCAGGCTGAGGCAGTACCAATGGCCCCGCCCACCAGGGCCGTAAGCCCCGCCTCCTCAGCGCGGTGTGCTCAGTCTAGCGGAGTTACTAGTTCCCTTTTCCAGGAGGTATGAACCGGATCCGCCCAGAGTTTACACATTCTCCTCACGCAGCCCCGAACTGAATTCCCATAAACTGGAGGAGGGAGTTTTAACAACTAAAACTCTGCCCCTTCCCAGAGCCGGGGACTCGGTCCACAGCGCAGGGAATCTCTACAGATAGTGACTGTCGCAGAGATGCAAACTCTGCCCTCCGGGGTTTACGCGGTCCCCTCAAACCCTCAAACGCCTCTGCAAACTCCGCCCCCAACCACAAGCCCCGCCCCGTCACCAAGGGATACAAGTCGAAGGGGCGGAGCCCCAGACCCGCCTCACCGAAAAGAACTCCGCCCACGTACGGCTCTTTCCCTTCACACGGAGGCAATGGCCCACCTACTCAGAGTCCCCGGCCCGCCCAGTAAAAATGCCCACGTATCGAACCGTGACCCCATAAGTCCCGCCCACCCACAGCGCCCCTTGTTGTTCAGGGCTTTTTGCACAAGCACCGCCCACGCAGAGAACAAGCCCAACCTCTTCTCCTAGGCTCCTCCTCCTGCCTACGTTAGCCCCGCCCATCTTTAGCCCCACCTTCTCGGAACTCAAGCCCCGCCCGCTCTGGGCTTAGGACCTTTGAAGTCTCTCACCACCTGATGCTCGGACTAGTGGGTCGGAACCCTGGTCCCGGACCAAGTTACCCCTGAACCCAGCCAGGCGCCCTCTCTCCTTCCCCACCCACAGCTTCTGTGCGTCCAGATTGCGGGTTCTCTGGAGGGAGCTCTGACACGGTGTAGATCCCAGTGCGCGGCATCGATGAACGGGCCTTTGGTGCCACCTGCCTTCCGCACCGCAGCTTGCAGCCAGCGGGAGGCCTCAGCCCGGGCCCCTCTCCCAGAGTACACTAGTGCTCAATAAATAGTTGCTTAATTTGTGTCTGTTACTCAGATATCTGCCGACTCCTTCCCTCCACCCCCGCAAAGCAGCAGATCGGTTGCAGGTGCCCTCCGTTGTATTTGGAAGACCTCAGGGGCTTCGCGCCGGCCCTCAAGCCATTCTGTGAGCTGAGGGGGCCCCTGCCAGTCTTTACAGAGGCTGGTGGGACTCCGGCTGTCCCTTCCCCACGAATTCTGTTTCCCAGGGGCGAAAGCACAGTCTCTCACCTGGGGCCCAGAATTGTAGGCCTGGGTCCTCCCCTAACCCAACTTCAAAGTGTGGACACCTTCCCTAGGGGGTGTGTTTGGAGGGACAGAGTGAGTTTGGGCTCAGAGGCTCTCATGTGGGAGCTGAGAGTCACACTTTTGGGAGTGATTTCAGAGCAGATCTCCATGTCAGCACTCATCACTACATTTGAAAATATCCACCTGCTCACTCTCACACAAGACTGGGGCTCCAGGAGGCCGAGGCAGTCGAGATCAGCTCTCGGAGCTCAATAAAATGCTTTTCAAACATTGTTGGGACAGGTGGTGGTAGCTAAGGCTGAGGGGGCAGAACTAACACCTGCTGAGCTCAGTTAGGTACTAGCACCGCTGGGTACCCTGCACTCCCTGCATTAAGCCCAGGGTGGAGCCACCTCCTGACAAACTCAGACCTGGGGAGCGGGAGCCTTTCCAACTGAGGGTCCAGCTCTGATGCCCTGGCTACTATGAATGGGAGTAGGGTTTGGTGCCAAATGATAGTGAAAATAACTCTGAATGCTTATTATATGCCTAGTCCTGTTCTAAGGGCTTTACATGCCCTAACCCTTTTAAGATCCATAACAACTCCCATAAAGTAAGTGCTATTCTTAGCACAATTTACAGGTGAGAAAGCTGAAGACACTAGCCTGAGTGCCTTGCTTTAGGCCACCTGCCCTATTTGGTCGAGTTAGTAAGTGAAGGTTTGAACCCAGGTAGATTCTGTGATCTTCACCCCTAAGAGCAGGGCCAGTCCATAGCGATAGCCATGTCTCTGATCAGAAAATGCCCACTATTAACAACAACAACAACAACAAAAACCCTTTAAAGCCCAAAGCTCTTCTGAAGGAAAGCATTCATTGAGACACGTGCTAGCCACAGAAACGACCAGGTCCTGGCACCTGCATTCTGAACCGCCAGCAGCAGGACTAGGTGGGGAAGACAACGTGTCCGCAGTCCTGGGATTGACAGGGATCTTTTATACAATGAGTTTGGAGAAGAAAGATCTAAGCTGCTTTGAAAGAATTTACATTAGCTATAGGTAAGTGGCGTGGGAGAGGTGATGGGGACAGTGCTGAGATAAGAAAGAAGTGTTTTATGCTTCTGGATTGGTTGTGGGCAACAGTCTAGAAAGTTCATGCAAAAGCAGGATGCAGTAGTGTGTGGTGGTCGCTATCCTCTCCAGATAAGAGCTGTAATAACCGCCTGGAAGCTGATTCAAAGTTTCAGCATACATTCAGGAATGTGAGCAATCCTGGCTTTGGCCAGTGGCTCTGTGAACTAATTAACCTCCTTTCTCCCCCCCCTCCCCCCCACCCCCTCCGCCTCTCATTCTCTGGCCTGCTGCAATTTAATTTAGGACATCTCATAATTTTTCTCTTGTCACCACCTCCCAGGGAACTCACGTTTAGGGATGAGTCTGCAAGATGTGGACTCCCAGGCTGATCACACTGTGATTGGGGCGTGTGAAGCTCTCCCCACCCAAGGAGAGTCCGTGGTGGTTTTGGTGGATGATGCTGGTGAGGCATTCACTGCCTGTGACCTTGTGGGAGCCGACAAGGGGTTCCCTCAGCGCAGCTTCAGGGAACCCAGTCGTGGTCATGTTCTCGTGTGATTCTGGTTAGTTCAGGGTTTTCTCACCAGGAGGCCAATTAACTGCAATTAAGAGCAGGCGCCCTGCAC